TTGTGGCCCTCCTCTGGACCCGCTCCAACAGTTCCATGTTCTTCTTGTGCTGAGGGCTCCAGAGCTGGATGCAGGGCTCCAGGTGAGGTCTCATCAGAGCAGAGTAGAGGGGCAGAATCCCCTCCCTCGACCTGCTGGCCACGCTTCTCCTGATGCAGCCCAGAGTACGGTTGGCCTTCTGGGCTGCCAGCGCACATTGCTGGCTCATGTCCAGGTTTTTGTCCACCAGCACCCCCAAGTCCCTCTCGGCAGGGCTGCTCTCGATCCTTTATTCCCCCAGCCGGTATTAAACTTATGTTTCTTCGAATGTGATCTCAGATTTGCAAAAAGTCATTTGAATGACAAAGTACAAATGTCACTTTTGTTGCTTGACCAGAAGGAACACCAGAAGATTGCGTTTTCACTCTGACCTATGACGCAGATTAGAATACCTTGAATCCTGTTGAACCGTGCAACCCCAGAGTCGCACGGCTTCCCCTGGCTCTTGCGTTGCTGTCCTCGCATGGGTGCTCCTTTGATCCTGTCCATGAGACAAGAAGCAATGTTTAGCAGGCTAGTCTTATGGCTCTTAAGAAGAACTTTGAGTTAGGAGGCAGAATTTGCTCTTGAATTAGCTGCTGTCAGGGCTGATCTGTCATGTGGCTGTTAGGTCGCGAAAGCCTGAAAGGTTGGGATTTAAGAGAGTCCGTCTTGCAGGCAGGTCAGCCCAAAGGGAAGATGATGAGCATTCAACAAGCGTCTAAAGGGTCTGGAGCAGTGCTGGGGAAAGGCATTGTGCACAGCAATCAGGTTGGAAATCACTACATCTAGCAATGTAAATTAAAGGGACCGGCAGAAGGCAAACCCCTCAGAGTATCTTGTAGCGGCACTTGGTGACAACCATTATTCAGCAGCTGACATGTTAGTGGCTAAAACCATTCATTATTTTGTCCTTTACCCCCTGTGGGGAGAGCTGCTCTGAAAATCAATTCCCTTTGTTGCTACATCAAGATCCATAACTCTCCCCGTGTTGATATTTTGTCCCCAAGCAATTGATGGTGGAATAAAGGGAGCCCTATTCCTTGAGGCGATGTAGAGTTAGTATCAGCCTGCTGAGATGGGGGTTTAATCTCTCTGCTGCATTTTAAATTAATCAGATATTTTCCAAAATGCTGTACTGGTTTTGAATTGAAATAGGTGGCCTCCCATCTTTCCACTTTCATTTTGCCACACAGGCCAATCAAGCCATTTTACAGTAGCTGATGGTAGTGTAGCAGAGAAGTGCTTTTGCCCACTTGTATTGTTGGTTTTATGGAAACCTCACTTGAATTTATTTTCCGTTATCGTGGAAAAAAATATTTAGAAAGGAAGTTCTGGGCTCATGTTAGTCTAATAACAGTTCGGAGGAT